AAGGGAACAATATCAAGAATGCTATATATGAAGTCTGAGAGAAGCTGTGCAGTCTTTAGTGCATTGGAGAGCGGAAAGGCGACCTCCAGTGTGACACCAGAACGCGGTTGCCACACGTCACACAGCCAGACGCGCTGATTTCAGGCGCGTTGTGACTCAAATGCGCCACGCGCATGCAGCTTCCTAGAGTCATTTTTGGCTCTTGCGACATTAGTACCAAATGTTCTGAAGACATATCTGGATGTATCGGAAAACTCGGATTCTTCGAAAATGCATCGTATCTTCAAACACTAGTCAAACAGATCTCTTTTTCACCCTATATGGAGGGAAAGAGGCAAAGTACCGGAAATCCAACATTTCCGATACATTTTAATCATCCTTCTGAGCATTTCTCTCAGCTATATCTTAGCCTGATTCTCGCAGTGTGAAGTGATCTACGTGTTCTCATTTTCGTGACGCTCGCTATTAGGGAACAAACAAAGCCAAATAACTCGCCGCGCGACCCAGGATTGGGTCTCCCCAGTAAAAACGCGAATTCAACAAAGTCACGTGCTGCCTACAACGCATCTCACGATTCGGACGCGACCTCGGCCCGAGCCTCTCGTTTGTTTTGTGATTGTTCAACATCCCTAAGTACCTATTTTCGGTCCCTGTATATTCCCGGACATACTCCGTTGGCGGCACAAAGGCGCGTACCTGAGTGTCCATGGCTCAAAGGTGTGCTCTATTCGGAGAGTCAAGCTCTCTGGCATCCCGATGTCCCTTCAGGGTGAACTGCAGGCGCGTTGCGTCGCGGATGTCCCGCGGGGTCCGGCGAGTTGTCGATTGAACATGCCGCAATGCCTTCTGTGGACATACTTTACATAACTAGGCTTGTAGAGTATGTTATTACATTCAGGTCAGATTAAGGTATGTGCTGTCTATACTAGTAATATTGTGAATGGCACGGGTAACCCCACGGGTGCCACGACGTGTACCCGTATTGAATCGCGCGCGAACCCGCATCGACGGATTGGCTACGGGTACACGGATTTCGCTTTTGAGAGCGCATTAAACGACGCCTTCTGGATACCCGGCACGGGCACGGTCAAATGCGACTCGTACCCTCCTCGCCCGATTGGTTCGGATGCCTCTGCCCTGTGAGGGACCAGAATTATCTCTTCCTGAGCACTGCCTGAGCCCTACCCACTCATGGTAGGTGTCATTTCCGCTCCAAGTCTTTCTTCTAGCTGATTTCAATGTAGATGCTGAGAATACATAGGTACAATGCAGGCTGTAGATACGGGTCTATATATTCATATTGGTAGGCCATGCCAACCCTTCTAGATCTGTGCATTTGTGTAGTCAACTCATAGTTATATGACCAAATGAAGCATAAATCATCTCTAATTGATGGTGCATAAGTGCTATTTATTGCTACCATGTATAATTTAGACATGTAATGTCAATAAGATCCATCATTCACTCTTTGATAGAATTAGTTCTTAATTATGTCTGATTTGCTCGGGAGGTTTTTCCTGATGATTATTATTCCTCCCTTGCATGCTCACTCATCATGAGCATGCCGCAAGCACATAGTAGATAGATTCCTATAGATATATAAACACACCTGTATTGTAGGTAGAGGTCAGATTTCGTGTAGAGACTTTCCCGATTCTTTACTTCATGTGAACTTCTCGACTCTGACATCTCGTGTGTGTCACTCTAACCGACAACTTCACATAGAGTAAGGGTATGTAGTTGCAATGCACTTTCGCATAACTCGCAGTGATACTATGTCAGATCTTCAGAGCTTACTGCGGTCAAAGCAAACCTTTGAATGTGCCGATCAGATTGCGGGAATCCCACCGGCGCGGACACCTTCAAAATTAGGCTCGGCCCACACTTCTTCAAGCTTACACACGGGCTCTACTGGCGCCTCTGGGATATCCTCAACTGATGGATAGTCCTCGACGTATTGATCATCGACGTCGGCTAGCAGATACGTCGTGTGGCTGCGAGCTGTCTGACGCAGGTCATAGTTACGTGAGATGGCGTGCTGGAATCCTGACCGCACATCGCCAGTGACGTGAAGCCTGCTACCGACGTTCGCGTCCCGGGTGCTAGGTACGAAGAAGCATCAGGGAAAAAGGAAGGGTCTGAAAAGGCTGAGCATCAGACTTTTCAGATGCGTCAGACTCTGCTCGACCAATCACATTGCGCGAAATTCTTTCAGCACGTCAGACCTTTAGAACCTCAATTTGGGTCGTTCAGACCCTGTATTCATACAACCCTAGCAAGACATATTGTTCATTTTGTGTATGGGATACAATACATTATTGAATACAGAAGTGGATTAGAATCAGTGGACCCAACAATTCACCCCTGCTCAATTGTTGTACCTGGATCAAAAACACATTTAGACATTTAGACCTTCAGACCTTCCCCTTTTTCCTGATGAAGGACCAGTGAGCGGCGAACAGGCGGCTGTGATAGACGACCAGGCGAATTTGGAGGGTCATTGCCTAGTAAATGTATTTTATTTGAGTGCTTGTCGATATAGATGGAGCATCGAAGGACTTTCAGCAGGAGATGCTTGGATAGCAGCGCGGTTGTGGCAAAGTTGAACTCAGAGATTCGGAAATGCCGATTAGACTTTTTCGTGGGTGCGGCAACATTCCACCGCTCGATTCTGAATGAGCCAATCACGAGCTTGACTCGCTCATCGGCACTCGTCTGCTCGACTCAGGTCGGTTGCACTGGTAAGGCTTTGGTACTGGTGTGCATAACCCGAAGGCCCCTTGCTCAGCCGTTCACACTATATGGTGCATGGTGCTTACAAACCCAGCACAAGGATTAGTGTCACCAGATCATACGCAAGCACGCCTCTTACCAGCTTCCCTCGGCATCGATTTACACTGGCTTTGCTCAAAACATACACAGTCGTCTCCAGTCCGCTAGAGAGGATGACGCTATGCCCACCGATGTATTCGCCCAGCGAATCATCAGCAAGATCGTCAGCCCTGATCCCCCAAACTATATGTTTTTCGGTTCCAAAGTCTACCATGCTCAGTGTGACAAGCTAGCTGCCGATGTCGCGGGTTCTTTCGATCGTACTGACGTATCGCGTCTTCAGGGCGCCTTGCTACCAGTCATGGCACTACCGTTCATCCTGAACATACTTCCGTCCCCGACTTCAAGTTTGTTACAAGACGATGGAACTCCGCGTTGCACCACCCACAGCATCTTTTCTTAGCCTATTTTCGCGTCTTCGTTGGCTGCTTTGCTATCACCCCTAGATTCCTTTTGTCAACACACGATAAGGAAGGCTTTATGACATTTACAGAGGGTTGGCTTGGGAACGGGAACCAGCGTGTCCCGCCAACGTCGAGAGCTGCTGGAGAAGTGATTTCATTATTGCCCAACGATCCCCGTGTGGTGACGGCACCGTTTTCTGTTTGCCCGTTCTCACGCCCGGTAAATCCTTTCCAACAGAATGCCAGGATGTTCGGAGAGGGAACTTGGAAGCCTCGTCGCCGAGCACTTTCGCTGTTACCCCATGTGGCTGTGCACGTAGTAGGTTCATGGTGCTATGTTGAGGTCCTACAGATTCCCATGTGCTCGAGTAGCCCGGTCTGAGCCCAGTTGACTGTCCCACAACAACGACAACGGCTTCTGTTCTTGTTGGCCGGATCAGTCTCCACCGTCTGTGTACCAAGACGGAACTCGAAGGACACACATGTATATTCGTTCCCCCGTCCAACACGGCGCTCATGGCCGGTCCCGTGTCTATTCAAGAAACCCCCAATGGATATACTCCCCGAGTCACCGTACGTACGCTCCAATCGATAACCTTGCCGTCGGTAATGCATGCGAACACTGCAGTCCTACCTAACCATCGTCATTAACGCTGAAGGCCGTACCGATACGTTTATTAGTCACGCACAGCCTCTCATGAGAGAGGGGGGGTCACTCGCCCCTCGTGGCTCGGAAGCACTCACGAAAGTAAGAGTGGTTCGGCTCTGCGACCCCACCAAAAACGAAATTCGAGCAAGGTGAATTAGTTGATATGTGGTGGATGGGATGAGGAGTTGTGAGATATCCAGGCGTGGATGTCTTACTGGACACACTGCTGCTTGGGTTAGCGACCACTTGCGAATGACCTTCAAGAAGAGACCTAGGGGAAGCCCAACACCAATATCGCCAATGGAAGTGATGCACATTGGTCCATGGGCCTGAAGTGACTATGTAGATACCCGTAGTAAAGAGCAAATTTATGGCAGTGAGTGACTCCAGAGATTCGACTATAAGTCCTCCGACCCGTCCAGTATGGCGAGATTTGCTTAGGTTCGCTTTCCATTAACAGTTATCCTGATTGACACGAACGACGATATGCAGGCAATTCTCACTGACCATGGACCAGCGACACGGCGTCCTGCACCTCGTTATCCGCTGACAAGTCAGCCACCCTGTCAACCATCGCGACACACGTCCATAGGTCTAATGAAGCGACGGTAGAACAACTCATCCAGGAGGAGCAGCCCTTCGCTCTCCGCCTCCCACTCATCCGCGTCCTCCGGTCCCAGCCATACCTGGTCTTCGCTCGTGTCTTGTAAGTACAACTTGGTTGCAGGTGCCCTCGCTCTGGTCACTGGTATCACCTTCGCCGGACTCGGAGGTGCTTCCCATCACGCGGAACGGGACCCATTCCAGCTTGCCGGTATTTGCTTCCTCCTTATCCCCCTTGGGATCGGATCATTGAACTGAGCATATACGTGACGGTGCTGCAATTCGCACTGACCTCGAACATCTAGGGAGCGTGTTCTACACCCGCGCCATCGAGAAGTTCGACGAGAATGTATTCGAGAGCGCGGGCTTCCCGCCTTGGGGCGCGGGAGGTATGAGCAGATCGCGGGACACGAGGCGTCGCCTGTGGCGTTCCTTCAGAAAGCCAGCGGGGAGAATGCGACCAAGCCCTGCACGGATAGCTTATGAGTTCATACAGTCACTTCCTTCATCCCCACGCTACGGCATGGCTGACTGCGAGTAAACAGCCCGTATACAGATCCCAAAAGTTTCGCGGCTTTGAGTTTGTCCATCGAGGAGGTCGGAACAGCTGCGTACCCAGGGGCAGCGCATTCGCTATCTTACCGCGATGATATTAATGCTGCCTGTGTGAGTGCATTCTTCGTGGTCCAGTACACGCGGTTAACCCACCTGGTTTCTAACAATCCATTCTGGCTATAGAGGCCCGCCAGACAAGCTGGATCCATAGCGCGGTCGACAAAGGTGAGCCTTGGTCGGGCCCATACCAGACGCCTTTTACGCCGTCTGGCGCGTACTCTTTTGCTTGTAAGTAATATCTCATCTCGATCACCGCACAAGATGACCACTCACCATATACCACTCGGAATATAAGCACCGTTCATCACGTCGTGCCCCGAGAGCAACCCTCCTTTGCCAGTCTGTCGTTCTATTAGTCCCTCGATGCCCAAGGCAGGGTCCACCATCAAAGTTTCCGTCGACAAATCGGACTCTACCGGCATGTTTATGGCATACTACTTCGGCCTGTCTGTCCTATCCTTAGAAATCCAGGACGGGCAGATGATTATTCCGGAGGGACTTCAAGATGTGGTATTCGCCAGAGTGGTGTCTGAGAAGCCCACAGAGGGCAAGCCGCCTAGCGACGAGACGATCAGGAGCGGGTTAGTGGTTATTGATTTTGGGCTGCCTGCTGACGCGAAGTATGAGTCGCCCATGTAGATCCTTGCCTAGTTTTTTCCTTTCATTTTACATCAGTTCCATAGGGTCAAATTGGTGCGAGTCTGTAAATGTGATGAGGTTGTCTATTGTCATCGGATTTGAACATACCCCTAATTTAGAGCTGTCACTGCCTGAAGTCCTGCGGCGCAACTAGATAAACCCAGATTGACGGAATTACTAGCAAGCGGTATACCGACCGAGGCCTTTCAGATACCACACAATTCGTGCATGATACTTATTGCCGAGGATTTCCGGATGATATTACAAGGTTTTCGCCCGCAATTGTCAGAAAAACTTACCTATATGGCGTGTCTGCACTACATGAGCAACGTATAATCAAAGAGATCTGCGCCGGTGTGCCCCTCCTTTGAGAGGGGTTATGCCAAACCCGCAATACATCGCACTTTTCGACCAACCGGCAAGTTCCGGCGTCCCATGTTTGGCTCCAGTGGCACACGGCTACACTTGAATCTATCTCGCGCAGCTAGACTCCGGTCCATGCATAGACTATACTTTGCATCTCACTTACATATCGAAGTAAACAATCAGTACTGAATTCCATCTCTGAAGTCTTCTTGGCAGGGCTAAGAGGGCATCGACAGCCAGCGTTGTCTTTGCTCGATGATCGAATATCGGGCAGGTATTGCGACAATCACAAGTACGAACTGATTATGGATCCTGCCCTTGTTCAGTACACCCTCGCCTACCGCGTACATGGGGGAGTGTGAGATTTTTATAGCGAATAGATTCAAAAACGAAATGTAAGGCGCGTTTGCGCGTACAGTGTCGTAGTACGGAGCAAACGCGGTGAGGACAAAATGTACGCTACCCAGGTATATATGAGCTCTACGGTAAGGTACTATCGGATAAAAATCAGATAAGGGTGTGAGCGGCCGCTCCGGGCCGCCTATGCGAGCTCGCCACATCCTGTCATTCCAACACACCCCCTCGAGCGAAGCATAGGCAGTAAGTGAAGAAAAATAACATATCAATAAGAGAAATATTGTCCATACGAATAGCACCCCCTCAAGGTATACACCCCCTGAATCACCACGCGTCGTCCTCGCTGTCTTCCTCAACCACGAGCGCAGCGGTTTCCTTCTTCATCGGGCAGTCGGCCTGGTAGTGACCCTTCTTCTGGCACGAGAAGCAGGTAATCGCCTCCAAAGGGGTGCGGCGTCGGACCGAAGTGACCGCTAGCGCTTCATCGGACGGCTCGGTCTTCACCCGAGGCCTCGTAGTTGCTGGTGTAACCTGGCGGGCTTCTTCATGAGCAAGCGAC